CAGCAAATTAAAAAAAAGGGAGAAAATTAAAACTGAATGGACACGTACCAAAAAAAAAGCCTTGGAGCCAAGGTCCTCGTAAGTCGGCGTGATGGATTTGGGGTGGGTGTCCTTGGAAGAAAGGCACCTTATGTCCCGAGCTCCTCTTTAAGAGCAAGTTGCCATTTTGCCTGTGTCTTGCTGACGAGTGCTCCATCCGTGTTTTTTTTAAAATAACTTAAGAGTGTCCAATTATGTTTTTCTAATATTTCTCCCCATGGATACACACCTCTGCCCCTTCTAGACATCTCAAAGTGCTTCACAGAATATACTGTAAAGTGAATTGACTGTATATTTGTAGGTGAAAGCACAAATGAAAGGAACCACAATCTTGCAGGATATTGAACTACTTTGGAGTGTACTTGCTTTCAAAATGCTGTTTTTTGAAGCTTCTCTAATTGAACACTGCAATTGTATAAACATGACACAAAATGGTGCTTATCAGAAGATACATAAGCATCTCTGTTTTCAGGAAAGAAATGAGAATTGGAATAAAATTGGAAAGTTACTGAACTGAATTGCTGTACTTGTGATTCCACTCTGCCAAATAAACACAAAAGTTTGTTTAAAGAATGGAAACCTAAAGGTCATCACTGGCACAAATCAGACATCGAAATGTCCCTTTGAACCTGTTATTTAATCCCATCTTGGCTACACTTTACACCACCCCCCTCCCCAACCAATGTGGCGGTGGACTGGCCCTCATTTCCCAAACTTCACTTGGTCTATCCTCCTATTCCTCTAGCTGTTTCTTCTCCTTTGAGCACCTTACCCTCCACCATCCCTCCTCTCTCTCCCTCAAAATCCTCCTAGTTTACCATCCCCCAATCCTCCTGGCTCCTTCCTCACTGATATCTCCTCTTCTCCCATCCCTGTTCCTCTGCACTGAACACCTGCTCATAATGGGTGATTTCAACCTCCACTTAAACTCTCCACCTCCTCGGATTTCACTGCCCTCCTCTTCTCCCTAAACCTCACACTCCACATTAACTCATCGACTCACAACCGTGGCCACCCCCTCGACCTCGTAATCACATATGACCTTAACATTTCCGACCTCTATCACGGACAAGGCCATCTCGGATCACTTCCTCATCTCCCTCTCTTCCTGCATCCCCCTCCCCTCTTCCAAGCCCGCCACCATTTTTTCCACCCCTGGAAGAAGCTTCCCCCTGAATCCCTCACAAATGCCCTCTCTTCCTTGGAACTCTTCTCTCTCTGGTTCTCCACCCACAGTGATCCTGATGCAGTCATCAAGCTGCTGAATGACCGTCTCTCCATAACCTTCAATTGCCTGGCTCCCCTGAAATCCAGGGTTGTTTCCAAATCAACCCACTCCCCCTGGTACAACAGTCATCTCCGCTCACTCAAAACACAAACCTGGATGCTCGAGCGCAGATGGCAGAAATCCAACGTTAAGATTCACGGCCAGCTGTGGCTCGAGCATCTCCACACCTACCCCTCTCCCTTTCACAGAGCAAAACTGACTTTTACTCCAAAGTCATCCTGTAGACAAACAACAATCCAAACACGCTGTTTCCCACCATCCATCACCTCCTTTATGCACCCCCTCAAGTTCATAAGAACATAAGAATTAGGAGCAGGAGTAGGCCATTCGGCCCTTCGTGCCTGCTCCGCCATTCAATAAGATCATGGCTGATCTTCTCACCTAACTCTGATTACCTGCCCTATCCCCATATTCCCTAATCCCTCTATCTTTCAAGAATCTATCAGTCTCAGCCTTGAAATAGTTCAAGGACTGAGCATCTACAGCCTTCTGGGGTAGTGAATTCCATACGTTCACTACCCTCTGAGTGAAGAAATGTTTCCTCAACTCTGTTCTAAGAGGCTGACTCTTAATTTTAAGACTGTGACCCCTGGTTATAGATTCTCCTACCAGGGGAAACAGTCTCTCAGTGCCTACGTTATCCAGCCCTTTAAGAATCAATATGATCCCCCCTAATTCTTCTGTACTCTAGAGAATACAGCCCTAGTTTATTCAACCTATCCTCATAGGTCAGTCCCCTCATCCCAGGAACTAACCGAGTGAATCTACGCTGCACCCCCTCTAGGGCAAGTATGTCCTTTTTTAAATAAGGAGACCAAAACTGCACACAATACTCTAGGTGCGGTCTCACCAAAGCCCTATACAGTTGCAGCAAGACTTCCCTACTCTTATATTCTAAACCTTTCGAAATGAACGCTAACATGCCGTTCGCCTTCTTAGTTGCTTGCTGCACCTGCAAACTAACTTTTTGGGACTGGTGTACAAGGACACCCAAATCCCTTTGAATACTAACACTATCTAACTTCTCCCCTTCCAGAAAATAATCTGTTCTTTTATTCTTGCTACCTAGGTGAATAATTTCACACTTGCTAACATTGAATTCCATCTGCCACCTACTTGCCCACTCCCCTGCCTATCTATATCTTGTTGCAATCTTTTTGCATCATCCTGAGAGCTCACTCTGCTACCTAGTTTAGTATCATCCGCGAATTTAGACACATTACATTCAATGTCCTCGTCCAGATCATTGATGTAAATGGTAAATAGCTGAGGCCCAAGCACTGATCCTTGTGGCACTCCACTAGTTACATCCTGCCAATTCGAGAATGATCCGTTTATCACTACTCTCTGCTTTCTACCCGATAGCCACTCTTCTATCCATGTTAATATTTTCCCATTAATCCCGTGGGCCTTGATCTTGAGTAACAGCCTTTTGTGTGGCACCTTGTCAAATGCCTTCCTAAAATCCAAATATACCACATCTACTGGTTCCCCCTTATCCAACCTGCTGGATACATCCTCAAAAAATTCTAAAAGGTTAGTCAAGCATGACTTCCCTTTTGTAAAGCCATGTTGACTCTGCCTAATCTTTTTATGGTCTTCCAGGTATCCCATAACTACGTCTTTTATTAAGGACTCAAGAATTTTCCCTACAACTGACGTCAAACTAACTGGTCTATAGTTTTCCCTATTTTCTCTCCCACCCTTCTTAAATAGTGGAGTTACGTTTGCAATCTTCCAATCAATGGGAACTTTTCCAGTATCCACAGACTTTTGGAAGATTATAGACATGCCATCCACTATCTCAGTAGCCACCTCCTTTAAAACTCTCGGATGCAGGCCATCCGGTCCAGGGGATTTATCGGTTTTAAGACCCGACAATTTACCTAGAACCATCTCTTTACTAATGTTAATCTCCCTAAATTGCTCGCTAACATTGTCTTCTTGGTCCTCTATTTTTGGTATGTTTCCAGTGTCTTCGATTGTGAAGACTGTAGAAAAATACATGTTTAATGACTCTGCCATGTCTTTGTCCCCTATTATAATTCCTCCGGTCTCTGCCTGTAATGGACCCACATTCACCCTCGCTAGCCTTTTCCTCTTTATATATTTGTAAAAACTCTTGGAGTCTGTTTTTATGTTCTTTGCTAGTTTGCCCTCGTAATCTATTTTCTCCCTCTTGATCAATTTTTTGGTCCTCCTCTGTTGTTCCCTAAAGTTCTCCCAATCCTCGGGTTTACTACTCATCTTCGCTGTTTTATAGGCTTTTTCTTTTGATTTGATACTTTCCCTAACTGCTCTAGTTAGCCATGGCTGCACCACCTTTCCCATGGCATTCTTATTCCTCAAAGGAATATGTGCTCGTTGGGAATTTTGCACTATCTCCTTGAATGTCTGCCATTGCTGGTCTACCGTCAAATCTTTAAGTTTAGTCTCCCAGTTTATTCTGGCTAAATCCTCTCTCATACCAGCAAAGTTGGCTCGATTTAAATTGAAGACTTTTGCTTCAGACTTAACTACTTCCCTCTCTAACTTAACGCTAAATTCCATCATATTATGATCGCTTTGCCCTAGAGGAGCCTTAAGTTCCAGTTTGCTGATCAGCCCTGTTTCATTACACAAAACAAGGTCTAATATGGCTTGTTCCCTGGTCGGCTCCTCAGCATATTGATCTAGAAAATTATCTCTAATACATTCTATAAACTCCTCTTCTATGTTACCTTTCCCAATTTGGTTGTCCCAGTCTATGTGCAGGTTAAAATCACCCACAATTAGTGTCTTTCCTTTGCTACATGCTCCACTAATCTCTTGATTTATACCTTGAGCGATACTTTGACCACTGTTTGGGGGTCTATAAACTACTCCCACTATAGTTTTCTGCCCCTTGAAGTTACGTATCTCTACCCATACTGACTCTACATCTTGCTTTTCAGATTTAAAATCTTTCCTCTCTACTGTTTTTATCCCATCCTTTATTAGCAGGGCCACTCCCCCTCCTCGTTTACCACATCGCCTATCTTTCCTATATACCACGTAGCCGGGAATATTCAGTTCCCATCCCTGATCACCCTGTAACCATGTCTCGGTGATGGCTACTAGATCATACCGGTTTGTCTCTATTTGTGCAACTATTTTGGATGTTTTGGCTAAATGGTTCTGATGCCATTGGGCAAGTTTTTTGCCTTTTCTTTTTTTCAAAACTAACATTTTGGACAATAAGGATCCCTGATTGAGTTTTTATTAAAAAAACTAAATCTAATTCTAAAGTCTAATTATTTCTGAGTAGCTCAGACCAGCAGTCTAAATCTCCAGTTTACCATTTAGAGGATTTGTAATTGAAATAAATAGTGTAAATGAACAATTGATTATGAAAACTGGCATGGTAACTGCAAAAGGGCAGAGATTAAAAATATCAGGAATTTATCGAGGAGGGTTGGCAAAACCACTCCATGCTGTTCAGCGCACAGCATTGTTTGTGCTGATATGTGGCCTGTTTAGCAGCCAGAGTGTGATTGGTGATGATATAGCAATGCCATTAACAAAACAACTGGCTTATTTTTAAAGTTAAAATTATATAATGTGAGTGATTTGTATAGCAAGTATATTTTATTAACAAATATCGCAATCGCATATTCATAGATGTTCTTTATATAGAAAACCTAATTCTTTAAAAATGTGGGATTTGCAGGAACGCATCCGCAACCACAAGTATCGGAGCCTGGGAGACCTGGAGAAAGATGTCAATCTGCTGTGTCATAATGCTCAGACATTCAACTTGGAAGGATCACAGGTCGGTTTTATGTCCTGTTAGACTATGGTTTTGTGTGTCTCGGTGGTGTTTGTGCAGTGGTTAGCGCAGTGGTACACATTTGGGCATCATAAATATTTAAACTGCGCAAAAATTGGAATCTTCTGTGAAAAAAACATTTTGTAACTGGTGGAATAATAGCTGCCCTGACTCCCGAGTACTGAGCAGCCAAGTTCCCAACTGGTGCTATTCATTCAATAGTTTTGCTGTCTATAATCTACCAAAGGCCACAGCCCATATCATCTGTCTAACATTTTCTGCCTTAGCCCAGCCATGCCAGGTTTTTAGAAAATGATGTATTTGTGAATACAATAAACGGTCCATACAAGTTATTGCAGAGATTGTTGGTACATGTTCCTACTATAAGTAGTATAAATCGATACTTGCTCACACTCTTATTATTGAGTGTTTAGAAAGCAGTAGTTGTTTGTGATCAATTCTGGGAGGCAGTCCTGAAAGAGCCCGAATGCTAAAACCTCGAGGTACCAACGCTCTGAGGAGATAGCTGCGAGCAAAGCTTAAGAGAGCAGTTTTGTGGGATATAGACATGGGATTTTTATGAAAAATGTTAGTTTAAATGAACAGGCAGCAGTAAATGCTCTCTTAGTAATTCTACATGTAAATATTGTGATAAGAAATTTATTCTAACTGAAATGTTTCACACGGTGAGAGTCCTCAATCACGTCTGATTTCACAGCTGAATAGTTATGGAACTTTTTTAAAAATAGCCTAATCACATTGACCTTCACAAATTGACTTGGGAAAATATGCAGAGGCAGAAGGATGCCTATGTTCAGCTTTATCGAGTGACAACCCTGGAGTAGCAGACGATAGAGAAATATTTACTCCAAACAACTTCTCATGCTTTGGTTTCCTTTTCATGCTGTAGGGTAGTAGGAAGCTTGTTTAAAACAGTAATTTTACTGCTATCTGCCAAGTCAAAATGGAAAAGAACCATATCGGTGTTGGATATCATTATGACTATCAAAAAAAGTCGTACATTTTACGATATATAACAGTGACCCAAACACAAACCCACCACCCTCCTCAAGTTCTCCGAAAACTCGAGCTTATTGAAAAGTTTTGTTTGAAATTTAAATGAGTGCATTATTATTGCAGTAGAGTGGACCCGCAGGTTACTGGACTCTGGGTATCTGCAATTTATCCTGAGTCAGACTGAGCCAACAACAAAAAGCATTTTCTGCATGTAGATCCTGGCCAGCCAAACTCTCCTAGTTCATGTCAAAGCTGCACTGAGCAGCCTCACTCACTGTCCTTGCTGGCCTTCACAGTAGTCAGGAATATCAACTTGGACTCAGATTGTTTGAGTCGACGGGCTGGAAGATAGCTTATTTGCTATCTCCTGCTCGCTGCATTCAACCAAATAATTTGTTTGGAGGGGGTGAGAGCTACACTTCTTTGGAGAGAAATTTAATCAAGTTGTTTCAACAATTTCCACCAAATGTTCAGTCTGGTGTTAAATAATTCACAGTAAGTTCTTGTTAATTTGTAGGTAACTGGACAGAGCTTTCTATAAATAGCATTCCACTCTAAGCGGTACAACAAGAGCATCGTGTCCTACCCACTGAATAATACCAACCCATCGAAATAGCAAAGACCAGAGTTTGGGATGTTCTAGTTTTCAGTTTCGAGAGCAGGTGGATATTTTAATCCTTTGTCTTGTTGCAGATTTATGAAGATTCCATTGTTCTTCAGTCAGTGTTCAAAAGTGCCAGACAGAAGATCGCTAAAGAAGAGGAAAGTGAGGAGGAAAGCAATGATGATGACGATGATGATGAAGATGAGGAGTCAGGGTCTGAAAGTGAGTCTGAAAATTTGAAGATAGGTTCCAAGCTCAATCCTTTCTCTGACATTGGTGAGTTTGGTACATTTGAGCTTAGGGCTCTCAGACTAGTGATGTGGGTAGTGGGGTGGAAGGAGTAGCCAGTAGCTCTACCTGATCAGAATCCATAAAGCCCTTTTCTTCCCCTCCCCCATAGGAAAATGCATACCATTCACCCTTAAGTTTACAGCAGAGGACTACTGTTGCCTGTGGAATGATTTGCCCATTATGATTTGTTGTTCTGCTGTTTTACACACCAGATAATGTGTTTCTGATTTGATGCAGTGTTCATTGAATAACAATGTGCCATGTTCATTTTTTTTCCCCCTCTGAATAACTTGCAGCGAAGTCCGTCAGAGTTAAAATAAAGCTTGGTCGAAAGGACAGTGACAGAAGTCGTGAGAAAGGGAAAAGCAAGAAGCGTCTAAGTCGTGCTAAAATTAAGCCAGTCGTGAGCGATGATGATAGCGATGACGACCAAGAAGATAATGTAAGTCTCACTTATGATAGCTTTAATACTCCAAATTGTATTCCAAATGTGACCTGAAGGTTCGAATCAGCAGCTACTGAAGTGAATCATTGGTTACATTTGTCATCTTCATTGCAGAACTTTCTGTGAAAATTCTTTTTAAGTCCTCTGTACCTTTAGCAGAAGTTATTTTTACAAATGGCTGTCGTGAGCATTGTCACCAAAAATATAGTCCTTGTTTTGATTGAAGTCTTTCATTTTGTGAGCTTTTGTATGAGTAACAGACTGAGAATTCACCCCTCCGCATCTTCTTTTCATTCTCTTTCGTATGGTGTATACACACAAACAATTGCACATATGCCTTCACTATTGTTACTCATTGACCACTGCAACGTGCAGAGTAGCTCTACATTTCCTTTGCCTGCTGGGAGAAAACATGTTTCTACTCTGAACCGCTGCACAATAATATAATTTGCCCACAAAATATCCTGTCAATTCCCTTTATTGTATATTTTGTGAAGCACTTTGAGACGTTTCGAATATGTGATAAAGCACTGTATCAAATGCAAGGATTGTTATTGTAATTGAGATGGGGAACTTGTGTTTGGGGTTTGGGTACTGAACCTTTAGGCCCACACTCACTTGTTCAGATGAGCTGTCTGGCATTGCCACCTGAGAGGCTTTTATCGTGTTTTATTTTCACATTATAAATGGAGTTCTATATTGTTTCTTTTTTCTATTTTCCCTTTTCCACCACCACCCAAAAAAGCTTTATTAATTATGATATTGAAGAGCAATGATACTCATCCTAATCACTTGTGTTGAATTAACAGCATTTACCTTCTCGTAGCAGTGGTTCACATTATGCGCCTGTCGTGTTCAAAAGAAACTGTGGTTATTTAAAGTTGTTTAATGTTATGACCATTTTCAATGTGTGTAAACTGTAAAGGAAACTAAACTGCCTGGCGAGCGTTTCTGATGTTTCAAGAGTAATAATGAGATTTTTGTTTAACATGTATAGAAATGACATTGGATGTGGGATAAACGTAAAAATCAAGTTGCTTAATGCTGTGTGATTCTATGTGGATTTTTAATTTGGTATCACGTTCACAGCAAAATTTGTTTAGTGCCTTTCACATCAGGAGAACGTCCCAAAGTGCTGGCAGTCAAGGATGTACATTCCAGCTGGGGGTTGGGATCAGGTGGTGGGGAAGGTGGGGGTGACTGAAGGCACGGTTGATTATCAGTCATGTTAAATCCCTTATCAAGATTAATGGTTTGTTTAATCTCATGTTTCCTTTTTCATCCCAGGACCAGTCAGACGGCAGTGGCAGTGACGATGAGTGATTTTATATATTTAAAAAAAATGAATTGCTTCATGGACAAATCTTACTTTCAGCAACTTTCAAATGTTTTGTTGCACAGCCATCCATAAATTCCTTCCTCTTCTATCCCGCCTCCACCTCCCAATTTGCCCTTTTTCTGAAAAGTAAATCTGTTAGTAAAACAGTATAATCTTTAGTTTAGTTTTATGTAGGCATGATTGCAGTTAAACAAAATAATAATTTTGTAAGTATACATATGTTTGCATCATATATTTGCTTTATGCTTGTTGAATAGAATAAAAAGGCTTTTTGAATTGTTATCAGTTTATATATACATCAAACATGCCATAGCTTTTTCTTTTCGCTTTCCTAAAGATTAATATCCTGACAGCTTTAAACTTGACCGTTACGATTCAAGTGAAAATATGTCATTATGCACATCCCCTTTTTAGTTCATTTTATTTGAAAACATTGTTTTGCAACCAGTGCTGGTAATGAGCTTTTCCTTAAGTGTACTTAATTCTTGCTTTCTTTGCACAATGTCTTTGGTGTAACTGATTGCCCAAGGCAAATAAAATCCAATTCAGTTGTAAAGCGTGGGCTTTTTTTGTCTGAGTGTTTATTTAATAACTAGTTGAGATTCAGGAAAATCTGACGCTTCGCTGGGAATTTTGAAATGTTTGTATTCCCACAATTGAGCTCAAGATTAGTTAAAGGGTGATCCTTTAAATATAAAAAGTGTATTTTGTGATTTTCCGGTGAAGAATTTTTTTGGACCTTGTGTAAAAAGTTGCACGAAAACTAGTGTATTGTTTTTCAACCGTTTTTTTTTCGTGGAAATGTTGAATTGGCAGTTGAATTGTCCTATGGCATCAATGAGAAAGCTGACGTCGGAACAGTTTTGTGACGTATATTGGTGGCTTCATGGGAGATGATGAAACATATCCAAACCCACCTTTTCCCATGGAATAACAGTCACCTCCACTCACTCAACACAAACCCAAACACTCAAGCGCACCTACCATCTCTTCCTTTCACAGGCCAAAACTGACTTTTTACTCCAAAGTCATCCTGGAGACAAACAACAATCCAAAGGCACTGTTTTTCACCGTCCATCACCTCCTCCGTGTACCCCCTCAAGCCCCCTCTATCTTCACATCAAATGCCAAGTGCTTAGAGGTCCTAGACTTCTTTGCCTCAAAGATTGAAAACATCCACTTGGCTGCATCATCCTCCCTCTATCGATCCCTCTAGTTTCTCACACTACTGTCCTATTTCCAACCTCCCCTTCCTTGCCAAAGCCTGGGAATGCATTGTTGCAGGTCAACTTGGATCACACCTCTTCCTTGAGGCCCGGCAGTCTGGTTTTCGCCCTGCTCACAGCACAGAGATGGCGCTTGTCAAAGTCAAACTACATTCTCTATTTGTGACCAGGACTCCCTCTGCCACCTTGTCCTCCTGGATCTCTCTGCTGCGTTTGACACAGTCGACCACGCCATCCTACTCCACTGCCTCTCCTCCCTCATCCACCTTAGTGGGACTGCACTCGCATGGTTCGAGTCCTACTTAACCAAACGCTGCCATTTCATCTCAGCAAATGGTTTCTCCTCCTGCCCCCACCTGGACACCTTCTCAGTCACCAGGGCTCCATCCTTGCCCCTTTTTTCCTTATCTATCTGCTCCTTCTGGGCGATGTCATCCGCAGACACGGGGTAAATTTCCACATGTATGCGGATGACACACAAATCTATTTTGCCTCCTCCATTACCAACTCCAGGTCCGCCAATGTTCTATCAGCTTGTCCGAGTGCAAGCTTCCCGCAGCTGAATGTGGACAAGACGGAAGCCATACTCCTCGGCTACTGTCAATGTCTTCACTTCTGCGGTTCTAAACTCCTCAACCTCCCTGTGTTCTCCCTCAGACTCACTGAACCAGTAGGGGAGGCAGGACAACAAGGGGTCGAATTGGACGCAATCTAAGCATCCGGTTCGACCCCCAGCTGTCTTTCGTCCCCCACGTCAGGTCCTTGACCATGACCACCTTCTTCCACCTCCGCCACATTGCCCACCTCCGACCTGACCTTACCCCAAATGCAGCTGAAACCCCTGTTAATGTGTTTGTCACCTCCTGCCTGGATTACTCAAACCCACTTCTTGCCGGTCTCCCCAGCTCCACTATTCAAAAGATCCAGCTCATTCAGAACTCTGCCGCCTGCATACTGACCCGGACCAAACTCCGTACCCCAATCTCACCAGTTCTGGCCAAGCTCCACTGACTCCCCATCACCGAACAGATCGACTTCAAGATCTTCACTCTCGTGTTCAAATCTATTCACTCCCTGCCACCTCCCTACCTCTCCGACCTCCTCACTCCCTGATACATCACCCGGCGCCTCTACTCAACTGGCACTGGCCTCCTGCTCATCCCTCGTACCCTCCTCCCCACCATCGGCGGTCGCACTTTTAGCCACTACGCCCCAAAACTCTGGAACACTCCCTCAATCCTTTCGCCTTGTCCCCTCTCCCCCTTGATCATGCTTACGGCCACCTCCCACGCCGCCCCTCAGAGTCAGGCTCCACTACTGTTAAGCTCTGTGAGACTCTACCCTGCGTAGAGGGCACTATATAAGTGCAAGTTGTATATATTTTTTAAAAACCCAAGAGAATCCCAAGGTGGCAATAGTGATAAACTGATCTGATTAATTCAAAGAAAAATGTAACAATGTTGGATTGTTAACTAAGAGACATGTACTTATACCTGGAGACATACTGATCCCACTCCCAGTACCTTCCCATCAGATGGAGTAGCATGTTGTGAACAACGGGTACTGGAGTAAAGACCTTTTTTTGTGAACTGAAAAGTGTTTTTCTTGTCATTAAAATTAAACTTTTTTGATACTTAAAAGAGGAAATCCCAGAGAGACAAAGGTTCAGATGCATTACATAATTTTAGCTTTGCTGCATGTTGGGGAGAGGTATTGCTCGTTTCTCTTTATTTGACAAATCATTTAAATTGGATTTGTGCTCCTTTATGATTTGTAATGCATTTCCTTCTTTCCTCATAGTTGTGTAATTGCTTGTGGAATTTTGGATCAACCAATGTCAGAGAAAACTGTGTTTTAAACTTGTCAATAAAAAAAATCTAATCTATGAATTTTGTGCATCATGATTTATTCCATTTAAAGTTCCTGAGGTTCAAAATGCTTTCAGTGTTTATTGTTTCAATTTTATCAATAACCTGAATCAATTTACATTGTGGTTCTAAAATTAACTCATTTTTTCTTTCCTTCGGTACGTTAATATAAGATTACCCTCTATTTCTGGACTGCCTGTTTTAACTTGATTTAAGGGTGCCAAAACTGGCACTTAAATCGTACCAGATTTCTGCACAATTTAACATAGAAACATGGGACACGAGAAATGAAATCTCAGTGCATTAGTTGGGTTAATCTTAACATGATTTTTGTAACACTAATTATATTACACTCATGATTGTATAGTACATATTTTAGTCAGTGAACTTATGCAGGAGATAGTAATGTTCACAATCCTCTAACTGACTACATTATTGCATTTGGTTGCTAGTGCCTGAAATGCAACTGGTTTACTTTGGACAAAATATAGAAACTACCAAGTGTGCACTAATTCTGGGAAGGTGCACTTAGGCCAGGAAGACGCACAACCAGTTGCCATTCTCTCAGGAGACTATTACCTCTAGAGATGCAATGAAAACCTACATTAGGAGGGTGATTGTCATCTGCTTGAACAGAGGTTACAGATTTTTTTATTTCAGTCCCAAGTCACTAATACTGCCTTGTGCTTGTGTCCCAAAGTGAGGCTGCTGCCAGACGGTGCTGCAACCTTAATTAGGTGTAAGCCTGAGTTGGACCATGTTAATAGAATAACCTCTAATCAGGTTGGAGATTAGTCAGTGTCTCAGAGTGGTGATCCAGGTCACTGAAGTCTGCTTTTGATCAGTTTGTTTTTCTGTCTGCCAATATTTCACTAATTTCTGCCCGGAATTAACCTCCTGCACTTTGCCAGGTTTTTTTTTGAATTGTGCTTCAGTATTTGTGACTTTAATTGTTTGACCTTATGTTACCCACTGAACAAAATAATTAAAATGGGTGTGGACAAACTGGACAGCCCTGTCAACCGTGCAAACCATACTAAACTGACCTTGCTGTGCCAGGAACAATAGCCTAACTGGTGCTTGGTCACCCAAATGTGATGGATTTAAAATGTTGCAATTTAAATGCTATATAATGCCAGTGAGCCATCACTTCAAGCAATCTGAACAATCATTGAAAAATTCACATTTTTTTTGAAAAGGTGTAATTAAACTATAGTGATGAAATCTGCCCTAGAAATTGTAACCATCTGACTGACTTTCGTTTTGAGAATTACTTCCTAATGGGGAATACTCTGTCAGAATATTAAGGAGGGTTGGGCAGGACTGATGATATTTTCTATTCCCAAGATAGTTCAGTGCTGTTTTGGTCATGAGACTGAAGAGTTTTTTTCACATTTCAGTCACCATATGATTCAAGTGTTTTGTAAGAGATTTAACCCTATAATTTCTGATTTTGTACAAATTGACACCAGGCAATGTTATACTTTCTGAAAAAGGGAATTCATGTGCCAGAAAACATAGTTCCGTACACAACTTATCTTGCATTTCACCCTGTAGTGGTATCAGCATAGTTCTCGTCTCACACCAACTTTGAGGACTTTCCTCACAGACTTGTGTTGACTCAACCTTTTTAACAAATTATGTGTCGTGATTTGAGTAAGAATCTGCCTGAGTATATGTCGCTAATTCGATGATGGCTCCCTCACAAGAGTAGATTGGAACTATTTTTAAAGTGTATTGATGATGTTCTGGGATCTCAGATTTCTGGCTAGAGCAAGAAAATCCAAACTGCATTCAGTTAAGATCTTGCCATTATTCAGCTACAGCAGTGGTGGCCAACCTTTATAGTCAGCCAACAAAATACATTTTCTTGATTGAATATTTCTTGATTTATGGCATTTCATGATTTTAAAAATTGGAAACACATTACCAATCGAACACAGATTTACCTAGACTTGCATGAATGTTCAGGGGTTGTTTCTTGACTGCCCTGCGAGCCACAGTTTGGCCTACAAAAATCCACAGTCACTACACTTTACTGCAAAGTACTTTCAGATATCCTCCTAACATAAAAGGCAGTATAAAGCCATTCGGGGAGAGGAGTCAAGACAGATCAGAGGCTGAGCCTGGCGAGCAGCATAGAAGGAGCGGCTGAGGTAAGCTGGGAACAGGCGGAGCTACGAAAAAAAAGAAAAAGTGACGTTGGTGTGACGTCACTTTCAACAGCAGAACCAGGGAGACATCGACAAACAAGGAACTGTCAGAAACTACAACACTGACGACAAATAAAAACAAAAATAAAAAATATATATATATATATTGAAAACACTTTGAGAAGATGATGTGGCAAATGAAATGCGAGGACTGTGACATGGGAGTTAATGGAGGGCGCCCTGAGGGCAACTTCATCTGCAACAAGTGCAACTCAGGAAGCTCCAGCTGAGGGTAGCTGAGCTGGAAGC